AGAAGGAATATGGAGGGAAGCACGATAAATAATCTTTCAATATGAAAGCAAACTTCAAAGGCACTCAGATATTTGCAATTGCAATGGGAATTCAGCTCTGGGTGCTTGAATAAGAAGTCAGAATGATATAGTCGACTATAAAGATACTCATTACTTCAGTAGAGAATTCTTTTAGAATGAGAACAGAATAGATGGTAATGCTAGAAAATAGCGTTTTGATTACTTTTCTGGTAGAAAAATATTACAAAGAAGTATTTTCCTTCATTCTGCTTATTGTTATTATTTTATTGTTTATTACATAGATTTGTCTACATTCTACTTGTGTTAATAAATTTGAACACTATGTTATCTCTCAAGCTTAAGTATCTATAAAAATATCGTAAAGCTGATAATAAATCTAGTATAAACTTTATAGAATCGGAAACGCTTCCTTCATTCTCTGACTCACCACTCCACAAATAGAATATATGTACCCCTGTATGCCACCACTAATGGGTATAAAAATCTCAATTAAGTGGAGGAGAAACCCATCGAGGGAGTAGCAGATCCATCAAATGTTTGGTTTTCATTTCTGCAACGACAAATCATAATGCAAACTCTGCTCCATCCATCCTCGTATATCTGCACGAGTATCTGCATACAAAGCAGTATGCAAACACAACTTCAACTGCAATTAAGTTTAATGGAAGCTCATTAAGAGTACGAATTGTTTTAGCAGAGAATGCAGCCTCGGATGGAGGGGCAAGAGGCTAGGGAGATGGCAAACAATTGCATAATACACAGTACATACAGACACCATGGAGAGTGGGGAGAAGCTGTATGTAGATGGGGTCCAAACATAACGCTAAATTATTGAGGAAGCTGCATTTTGAAGTTGGCTTTAACAGCGAGCTGAGCGGAAGTCACTTAATTGCTTCACCAATTTCTTGTGCTCTTTCAACCATACTCTGGCAAAGGGCAGAGATCAATTGAGTGCCTGGCCAAATGCCATCAAAATACATTTGGGTCTATGAGACTCACTTGTCAGATATTTTTATGGATTTTGTCAGTGCTCTTAATGCGCCTTTTGTCCTTGTTGCAGTAGCAATTAAAATGACAGTGTGTTAAAATGAACAGTAATGTGGGGGCTGTGAATGGTATTGGCTGTAGTTGGGACATGCTGGTATTTCGTGAATGTTGTAATGTACATATGTATGCCTGTTCTAGTCTTGACTAGATTTACTTAGTATTTGTAGATCTTAAAAATATGTTTAAATAACCAAGGCATCTGCATTTATCCACCAATTGCTACATCCCTCTAACCATCGGATTCCAGAGATTCATTTACCCACAAAACGAATGCAACCTGCATTCTTCAAACGAAAAGAGTATGCTCCGCATTTTTGCTTTAAACAAATTCCTGCCTGATTATGCCTGCATTGTTCTAAAAAAAGGTTTAAATACAAAGAGAAGCTACAGCTACATAATTTAAAACCAATGCACTCTCATTCAACTAAATTATGTAAAACTTAAAGTGAAACAATTTCAAATCGTACTAAGCTTTTATCCACATACATATTTACTATTATGTATTGTTCATTATGTAGTAAATGCATAATTAAAAAAAAAAAAATATTTCCAGGTGAGATACTCACCAGGCACCTAATGTAATCCTTCCTGATCAGCCTTTGCCTCTTTCCTTGGGGTTCCCTTTTGCCAAATGATAGCCTGCAATATTCCTTCGATATACATGTTTCATACGTCTTTAGAAGCAAATATTATTTCAAAGTGACAAAATACTCGTATCAAAATTTAAAAAAATTCTTCGTTTCGAAAAATGTTCTCTCCTCTTTTTTCCTTTCAATCACAGAAGATCCACTTCAATATGATGGCAACATCGTTGAAAGGGTAAGCGGAAAGAACCTCCCTGCAAGGGAACAACCTTAAACGACAGGTGGGGATATGGGTAGAAAATGTGATGGGGTAGGGTCTGACACATGCGATATATGCTCATGTATGAATGATACGCCCCTTAGAGGGTTTGCCAGATCAGGGGTTGGCTGTCTGTTGCATTTTGTATTCCCTTTTTTTTCAAAATGGGTATATCTGATGAATGAATATGTTTAAGGGACTTACGAGAATGTCTCGTAGTTCTATTTCAGAAAATGGATTGATGTATCATGAAAATACTTCTTTGCATTGTCTGTAGATCGCAGACAGTTTTACCATTTCATAATAAAGTACATAATAATTATAGCTTATTTTAATATAACCAATAAACTCTCTTAAATAAATAAATAAACTCAATACACAATAATACACAATTTTCCATAGAAACTACCAGTATTACGAGTACAAGAGTATCAATATCAAGGCTTCCCATATGGCTTGTGACTGCCACCCCTCTTGTTTTCATGAATTTCTCGACATTTGCATTTCATTAATAATGCATTTTAATTACGTACCATTGCAATTGCAACAGCTCCTCAGTTCCTCCTCGGTTGCTCCTCGGTTCCTCAGCAGTTCCTCGACACCCGTTTGCACTTTGTCTGTGGTTGGATCGATTGATAGGGAAATGGGGATGGAAATGGTATGGGTATGATATAATAAATATTTATAACAACATCACAAGTTTAAAACGCACCACAGACGTTGGTGCGGTGTGCTATTTAAAATGTACAATTTGCTTATAAAGCGAGGAGGGCTTCTGCCTGTCTCCCTCCCTCTATACTTTCTCCCCTTCTCTTTCTGTTTAATCGATTCTTTCGCTCAAGTTCCGCACAATGTTTAACGCTTCAGTGGACTGTGCAGCGTGTCCATGGGTTCGTTTTTATATTTTTGCATAATTAAATCTATTTGCCGGTCAGTCGAAGCCCCCCATCCCCATCCCGTCTTGCTCTACTCTGTTTCCCCCTGGAATTGGGTTTAGATAATGTCTAAAACGTACGTATATGTATATTCATTACTCGAATTTGTTACCTGAATTTTCTGAACTCGTTTCTTAGTTTTTTTGTTTGTTTGCTTTAGTTTGTTTCTTCTTTTGCGGAAGTTTTCGATTTTCTTTAGATGCCGGCAGGGGCTTGGCTGGCGGCTCGTTTAGGCCTGGTCAAGGCGGCGCCTTAAAAGGCACAAACGGGTGACACAGAAAGCAAACCTTGGCAGTGAAAATATTGCCTAACGGTAGCCTGGGCTTGGCTATAAACAATCTTTGTTTTTGCAGCAAACATCTAATGTCTTGGCATAGTTTTCGCAGAGAAATTGATTTTCCGTGTCTTAGTTTTTTTTGCTCCTCTTCAAGTTGCCGACCATAAAATTGATAAAATTAAATATTCATTAAATGCTGTTGATTTACCAGGAGAAGAGGTTTGCCCATGTTAGTTCATAGAAAACATTTATTTTTGAGCACAAAAACATTTACCCAATTTAATTGTTTGCTTTTCCCTGTACATAAAGGTAGCTCTGTTGAAAAGAATGAAAGGCATGGGCATGCAAAAGACGTTCGTTTAAAGAGAGTGTTTTTTTATAAAGAAATAATGGAATGGGCTCTTTGAACAAATAATCTTCAAACAAATTTAATCCAATATATTGATAGAGTATGAACTTTGTCCCATTAGAAGTTTGCAACGCTGAAAGAGGAAGTACATAGTTCCGACTCCATAAAGTATTCATATAAATCAGTAAGTCCGACTGAAGGAGGATGCTTTTGTAACTATCTTTAATTCCTTGTCGAATATGAGTTCTTATGTATGAAAACTCATATATTTGAGTTTTAATTTTAGCATAGAAACTATCAAGATTGTGCAAGAGCTTATACGAAGTCTTTTCTTTCTGTTTGGTCTGTACTAACTTGTAACTGTTACAGCGAGTTTTTTCTACAACTAATTACCAATTTAATTTACTTCTGTCATTCTCTACAATTCCCAATTGAACTTTTTTCTCCCGTCATGGGGAGCTCTGTTTCGTTGCTGTTTCTAGTTTTTCTGCGGCAACTACTTAAAGTTGACATATTTTGCAATCAAGTTTTGAATCCAGCCAACCATCTATCCAGCCACCGACAATCCATTCTGCTATGTGCACGCATTAACAACTTGATATAATTGCATTTAATTATGCTACAAGAAATTCAATTAACTGTCGTGCCAACAGCAGCAGCGAGAGAAAATATGCTCAGAGGAAACCCATAAATACATAAACACAAAAGCAAAATATGAAAAATGTTTTGGTTGCTGTTTGACAAGTGCAACTGCAAAGCGACAAAACTACATTTATTTTTAGTCCCCGCAGGATGAGCGAAGAAAAATTATAGTTATGTTGGTGTCCAGCGGAAACGCAGTTGGCAATGCTAATTCCTTTTGGCCATTCGCGCGCGTTTTTTCTTTGTGGCATTTCCTGCTGAAAATTTTCTGCAAATTTTCCTTTTTTTCTCTCTGTCTGTATCTCTCTTTCTCTCTGTTTTGTGATGTTTTCAATTAGCGAGCTGTCGGCGGAAGTCGTTGGTAAAAAATGCCAAAAGAAAAATAGTTTTACAACGGCGACGAAAAGGAAATTTCACCCACTTAACGAAAAAGGTGGTGCAATAAATTTTGGCTTCTCTTTTTCCAATTGATTTAACGATTTCCACCTGTTTTTCTTTTGTATTTGTGATTGCCTTGCGACGCGTGAACAATTTTTTGCCATAATTTCACAGCTTTGCGGCTTTCCAAGTGGCGACGCAAGGCAGAGTTTTTTGAGTGTCGGAAAAGCCAGAGAAATTGTTGGGAAAAAGAAAAGAAAAACGACAGTTAATCAAATAAGTGAACACTTTTAATGGTCTTAATTTGTTAACTGAATTAATTAATCTATGATTTTATAAGTTGGCAATTAAAACTTATGGGGAAATGAATTGTTAATTAAATAATAGCTTTGAGAAGTGATTTGTGCGGGATGTTTTTGAACAACCTCTATCCTTTATTTCTTTGTAATAAGCCCTTGCCAAAAATGACGTATACTCAATGGAAATTATTTTCTCTTTCTCCTTTCAGCGGACACTCGTATAGCAAGGATAGCCACAAGTCCTCGCACAGTGATCTACGATTGCTGTGCAGCGGTGATGTCACTGCCACTGCCACACAGGCAGCAGCGCCTGGGAGCGGCTCACCAAAGCTATTGGCAAAAACTACACTGCGTAAGTAGTAATTTTCTTTATATTTAATAAAAAAAGGGGCTATAGGATTTTAAAACTTATGCTACGATCAAGATCTTAGCTCTTTCTACGTTCTTTTGGAAATGTTTAACCAATCCTAGCCCACTGTAGAGAGATAGTAAGACTCTTTCCTCATTGTATTTTTTGACAGTCCGATACTAGTGTGAAAGGGTGTCGCATTCAATGACGCGAATGAAACGGCTCATTGAAAAGTCGATAACGAATTCCATTACAGATATGCAAGGCAATAATCACACGCATAGATCATCATATACATATATGTACATATATAAAATAAAAATAAGTAAAGTGAATTAAATGGGATCCATCGGCACAGATTTTTTACCAGCTTGACCGTTTTTCTCTCACTGTGACACACATCTTATATCCAAAATCTCCAACTCTTTATTTTTACATTTAAAAAATTGATTTTGTTATTCCATTGATCGGGAATCATACATAGATCAGAAATTATGTAGGTATTAAATGGGGAGGTCACTCTAAGTGTAGTAGCCAGAAGGTGGTAGCAAAATGTTTAGCATAATTAATGGCATAAACGTATAAACGCTTTGAAACATTTGGTAATATTTCAATATTTTACACCTTGTATTTTACATATTCGGTTCTGTAAGATGAATTAAACAAATACATACTAAAAGTATGCAACACATTTTGAGTTCTCCATGATCTCCGCTAAAGCTTAAAGCAGTGCAAGCAGTATGTTCACTTAAGCAGTTTTGTTGCAGAAACATGTTTGTGCTCTGTCGCATCTAAGAGATACAACGAAACTTGCTCTCGCCACAAAATAAACTTTGATTCGAAAAGAAATAACTTTGAAACCGCTAAGTAGAATGCTCAAAGTTTTAAGCCGCGAACCGGCTTTACTCTACCAACCAGCATGCTGGTCGTTAAGAGTATCGTAACCCCCCATGGTGGCATGCGAGGGAGCGAGCTTTGTGTGCTCTGTGTGCGTGCCTGTGCTCTGGCCGTACTGGTAGATACAAATGTATCTGGAATCGATAAAACGGCATTTGCCTGCACTTTGTCTCTTCTGTGTGTCGTCTCTTCAGTCCGCTGCCGCTTTTTCTCTCGTTTACACGGGCTCCGTGTCTCTTATGTCTCGTTTTTTTGTGTTTGGTGTGTCTGGTGTCGGCGTGTTCTCCGTGATATTGATTAGATCGCGCTTTCGTGATCGACGGGGGAAATAATTACCAAAATTGGTCATGAAATAAGGCCGTCCCCGAAAAGTGTGTGGTTGTGCGGTGTTACCAGTGTGTGATCAAAATTCAATCAAAATAAACATACAAAATCAATTTCAGGTTCAAATGTGAATACGTATGAATCATCGTTCACAGGTTTTATTCATTTGTCTGCCATTCAGACCGATTCAATGGACCCTCCACTGGACTACCTCTTTTATATTCTGTTCACCCCTATTTGTGCAAAACTTCTTCTTACCAAAGAGTAGTGGGGAAAACAGGTTTTCCGCGCTTCGTTTTCCATAGAATGCCGGCATGTTTTCGTTTTCGAAATGTGTACAATTGTTTTCAAGTGAAACAAAAGCATCGTCTGGCATTTCAAGAGGCCGGCAAACATTTTGACCACCAGACGGAACCACTGAAAAATAAAACCCAACCAACCACCTTTCGAGTGCATTCCGTTTTTCGCTCTTGACGTCATTTTTCGGTATTCAAATATCGCAGGTTTTTAGAGTGCCCTTTGCAGGGGGTGTTCTAATGTTTTCAAAGCTAACAGTGCAGCATTTTCTACCCTCCAAGTAATTAAAGGTTGGGTCTATTAGGCTGAGACTCGCCCTATCCTCTGCCGCCATTTGAAATGATGCATAGTCAAGGGTATCCAAAGCTTCGATCTCCAAAGAAACCCCCTACTATATTTCGATTATGTTGTTGACATTACCCAAAGTTTGTTTGATGAATTTCCAAAGTAAAAATCGCATTAAGTTAGGCGCTCAATCAATCAATCAGTGGGTGCTCTGGTCCCCGCCTTTCGCTCACACCGAAAGCATTCTCCTTGGCTAAGTTCTGGGCATGGGCCCCATGCTTGCCTTTTGCGGGCCATAAATTATGTTGGCTCCAGCGTCGTAATCAGTTTTGTTACAGTTTGTGGCCGGGCCGGCTTTCTCACGAACTTTTGCAAAAGACTGACTGAAACCATCTGAAGCCGCAAAATGGCTGCTGCCCTGGCTCTCTATTACCAGTTACCGTTAGCCTTTGTCGGATAGAACCTGCAAGATAGGAGGAGGCTAGGGAGAGAGAGGAGAAAGTTCATTTACCTATTCAACGCTGGAAACGTGCCTCTCGTTCAAAGTTTCAGATCAAGCTTCATCAGCATTCAATGAGAAGACAGGGGGTGCTGACTGCCTGCCTGCCTGCCTACCTGGCCAGCCGTGGTCCACCTTTGTCCGGGCCATGCAAAAGTTCTTTGTAATTTAATCCCCTAATGATTGGTTAATCCGCGAACGACAGGATTCTGTTGAAGCAAAGCTTTAAGCTGCTTTGAGATTCATATTCATTCGCGGGAGTGCTCAAAATTCAAATGAGTTAATGATCTCATTAGCGATGACATCATTGTGATTGGAGTTTATTGTGTGCTAGGAGGGGCTAAGGAGTTTTTATAGAAGATGCAAATGATCTTTAGAAAGCTCGAATTTAATTTTCAGAGAACAAAAAATGTCTTTAATGTGATTCTTTAGTCAATCAATTGCACAAAATCTATTCTTTTTACACATGCTACTAGCTTTATTGGGACTATATTTTAATTTAATTTATTTTAATGGTTCAGTAAACATAAGTCCATCGTTAATCACTTTAAACGTATTTTAACTCCAAAGCCAAAGCATAAACCAAGTCTTAACAGATCTGCATAATTGACATTGGTGACGAATTCTTAATGGCTTATAAAGAATGTTACCATCAGAAGCTGTCTTTATCCGATTATATTTCCCTCCTATGTAATCCGATCAGTGAGAGAGGAAATGATCGGTGGGCGTGCTACACTGCTTCCACACACAAAAGAATTCATCTTTCAGCGGATATAAGCCATAAAAATAAAAATAAAATATCATATGGTTAGGCATTCCATTTCCAACCACTATGGAATGGTCTTTAAGGCTTAATTTATGTTTTCCTAAGATCGTTATGCGATGGTAGGGCTTTCTAGATACAGAGCAAAGTGCAAGAGGCGACACCTGTTTCCGGCCATGTCTACCTGGTTCTTCTCTCTCTCGTGACTTGTCTCGCCATTGCCTTTGGCCATGTATGTCTCTGAGTCTCGTAGATGCTGCTATTGCTATAATTTCCATCAGAGTTTTCTTTGCTCTGTTCTGCTCTTGACGTGACGTTAGACGACAAACCGACATTTTTCTCCGAGCGACTCTTTTCTTAATTTTCACTCGACGTGCTGGCATGCTTTTGTGCTTTTTACATTATTATTATCATATTTGAATTTTTTTCAATCTGTCTCTTTTTTATGTACAATCCTGCCTGGTTTGGCGGGGCAGGGCACAAGCAGCTCCTCTTTAGTGAAGCTCCTCTCCTTGGGACGGGGCTTGGTCTCTTGATGCCGTCTTTTTTTCCGTCCGCTGTCTGCTTTGAAAGAGTCTTTTGTTTGCTTTCATTTCACTCTACCACTCACTACCTCTATCTCCATCTCTCACTCCCTCTCTCTTTCTGGGGCGCTTAATAATTATGTGGGAAATTTGCAAAATAATGCTAGACAGAAATACGTCTACTACGGGTATTTCTTTCGTATGGGTGTTTCTTTTCATTTTCGATGGCTTGTTTCTGTTTCGTTTCGCATAATTCGCTTAACTATGCGAGAAAGTGTTGTGGGCGTTATGTTGTAAAAATTATGCTGTAAAATACTTGCAATGCAACAGCAACAGCAAGAGCCACAAAATGAAATGCATTGAAATCGTATTTCGCCGGCAACTTTTCAATTTGCCAACATTTCTGTAAAGTGAAGGTTGCGCAAAACGTACAACCTACCAAGAAATAAAAAGTTGAATTTCAATCAAGGAATTTTTCAGCATGAAATGACAGGCGAGAAGAAAAGTTTTCTGAAGAAAAGAGGGTGGGAAATGTGCGGGAAAACTTACAGAAGTATGAAAAAGTTTTCGAGGAGTGGAAATGGAAATAAAGTATGGGAGAAAAGGTGGAAATGTGTAAAGAATTTAGTAATTAATAAATAAATATTAATAGTTTTTAAAATTTACTTTTAATGGGAAATAGTTGGCTTTATATTATCTTTAGTTTTTCCCTATATCAAATCCTTTCTAAAATTGTAAAACAAAGGCTCTGGGGCATACCAAACTCTTAGATTACAGAATGATAGCAGACCCAACCCAACCGCATCGAATCCATAATGAACAATGGTCATAATAGTATCTTTCTCTCACTACCACTTTAACCCTTCGAGTCGTATGCCTGTTGGCCATAGTTCCGCCTAGACTATCGATTACCATAATCTCTCTGGTGACCACCCAACAAATTGATACCCTTCTTTTTTGTTTGGCTGGATCAAGCTCCTACCGAAAAATAAGTATCTCAAGATTGCTGTCAACTTTCACTTGATATTTTCGTTGAGTGCACTTTTGTTGTAATCGTTATGGTATTGTTGTCCGAGTGCTGCATTGATGTTTTTTGATTTTTTTGCATAATGCAATATGGCTTTCTTTATTGAATAAGAAACGAGCGCGAAACACTTTTCATTTTGGCCATAATGAAGCGCTTATATGCCATGAATATGTGCCTGCCAATCACAAAAAACCGATACGGGCCAAAACCAAAAACAACACACAAAAACCAAAACAAAAACAGTTTTCATCAGCTGTTTATGCCGGGGCTAACAAATTTCCTCTGGTCACTGAACCAATTCCAATTCCTATTCCACTTCCAATTTCGATTCCATTCGAAGCTCTAACTAAGTTGAACTGAAAACTCGGTGGATGTTGTTGTTGTCGG